TACACAGGGCCTGTTTCTTGGCTCTCTGGCTTTCTATGGCTGTTCTTCACTTCTTGTCCCACCACCACAATGTTACTTAGCTAAACAGGGAGTCTTGATAACTGGTAAAGCCAGTGTTCTTCCTTCCGGCACCCTCCTCCTTCAGAATTGTCTGGACGAGTCTTGGCCCCATATTCTCTCCTAAGAATTTTAGAATCACCCTGTCAAGGCCCACCAGAGTGTTTTAAGCACATATCTGTCGTGACCAGACACTCATGTAAACAGTGAATGGCTCTCACGCATTAGAAGCCCATTATAGTAGTCCAGCAAAGAGCTACTGAATGGTGACTTGGGCTAAGTGAGTGATAGTGGGAATGAGAAGAGGTGGACGGAATGAAGGTGCATGTTGGTGGATAGAAGGGGTGAGACTCGTACAGAATTGGATGTGGGAAAGAAGGAAAGTAAATATTGCAAAACAACACATAGTTGGCTATTTTGGCTTAAACTACTGCCAGGTGGGTGATGTTGCCATTTAGTGAGAGAGAGAGAGTGAAGATGGAAGAAAAACAGGCTTGAGGGAAGGATATCAGACCATCTGTTTTGAGCATGTTACATTTTAAGAGCCCTTCAGACATCCAGGTGAGAGATGTTTAGTCAGCAGTCGGATACACAAATTTGGCTCTGAGAGGAGCGGTCGGAGAAAGGGCAGTGCATTGAGGAAGTAATGGTCACCTGGGCTAGCTGCTATTGCCAGGCTGAGGCCGTTAGATTTGGCAAATGGAAATCATCAGTGACTCACTCAGGAGAGTGGGGAGGAGGGAAGCCAGACTGGGGTGGGATGAAGAGAATGATGAAAAGGCAAAGGGATATGATGGTAAGTACCTCCAGTGAGAACTCTGGCTATAAATGAGAGTAGAAAAGTGGGAAGCTCTTGATGTGGAATCACATCAAGATTTTTTAAAAAGATAAAATACAGTAGCATATGTTGTAGTCTGATGATCATCAGTAGAAAGGGGGGGATCTGTGTCTCCTTAAATTTTTTTAAAATACTTCATGAAGTATATGGGCAGTATAATTGTTCAATGAAAAGTAGGTCTTGACTGTCTCGTGAGCCTGGCTTCTCCTCTTAAAGACAATCACTGTTAAACATCAATATCTTAGATAACTTTCCAGAAATAGTATTGACATATAGCATGTGCCACTTGTCTTATAATTTTTTATTATGTCAATTTTCAACTATATACGACAGAACCGATAAGCAAATGAGAAACGCCTATCACCCTACTTCAGGGTGTAGCCCTGGTGGCTTAATGGTTTACGTGATGGGCAGCTAACTACAAAGTTAGCCTTTCAAATCTATCAGCTGCTTCTCAGAGAAAGATGAGGCTTTCTGTCCCCGTAAAGATTTACCACCTCAGAAACCCACAGGGGCAATTTTACTCCGAACTATAGGGTTGAAATCAACTCAATGGCAATAAGTTTGGAGTTGATTTGGTTTGTTACTGTACTTCAAGGACCCTTGGTGGCCTTATAGGCTAAGAGTTGGATGCCAACAGAAAAGTCAGTGGTTCAAAACCACCAGTGGCTCCAAGGGAGAAAGATGAGGCTATTTTCTCGCATGAAAATGTACAGCTCTGGAAACCCCCATGTCGGGTCGCTATGAGTTGGAATTAACTCAATGGCAGTGGGCTTGGGGTTTTGTTTGTTTTGGTATCACTCAACTTCAACAGATTGACTGGAAATACACTACATTTTATATTAATCCTGCTTCATTAACCTAACATAGACATTCCTTTCCCTGGGATCATGACCACAGGCATGTACTTGCTGCTAGGTGACCTAAAATGGATTCAGACTCATAGTGACCTTACCACAACATAACAAAACACCACCTGATCCAGCACCGTCCTCACAATTGTTGTTATATTTGAGCCCATTATTGTTCACCATGTTAATCCATTTCATTAGAGTCTTCCTCTTTTTTGCTAACCCTCTATTTTACCAAGCATGATGTCCTTTTCCACCAACTACTTTCTCCTGATAACATGTTCAAAAGTACACGAAACCAAGTCTCACCATCCTTGAGTCTGAGGAGCATTTTGGCTGTACTTCTTCCAAGATAGATTTGTTCCTCTGGCAGTCCACAGTGCATTCAATATACTTTGCCTAACTATAATTTGAAAGCATCTATTCTTCTTTACTCTTCCTTATTCTTTTTTTTAAATCATTTTATTTGGGGTTCATACAACTCTTATCACAATCCATATATCCATGCATGTGTCAAGCACATTTGTACATTTGTTGCCCTCATCATTCTCAAAACATTTGCCTTCTGCTTGAGCCCTTGGTATCA